ACATTGTCCGGCCCCCCCCAATCCAATAAGGGATGGATGTTCTCCTTGGCTCTCTTTTTGTTGTTAATATATTTGTAACAACATTTTTTGTTATCCCTTATGACCATGGCCAGATTTAGTTCTAGCTGGGCTTCTACCTTTCTAATTTTCTCTCTGCATGACCTAACGAGATCCTTGTAATCTTCTTGAGTTGCCTGCCTCTTCTTCCCAAGGTGGTAAACTCTCCTTTTTTTTCCTGAGTCCCAGCAAAAGCTCCCCGTTCAGCCAGGCCGGTCGTCTTCCCTGCCAGCTCCTCTTGTGGCACATGGGGACCACCTGCTCCTGCACCTTTAAGATTTTCTTCTTGAAGAAACTGAAGCCCTCCCCCCCCCCCCCCCCCAGTACAATAAAGACATTGATAAATTGGAGCAAGTTCAGCAGAGACCACCAAGGTGGTCAGAGAGTCTGAGTACATGCCCTGTTAAAAGAGACTGAGGGAACAAAGTCTGACCAGCCTGGAGATAAGGCAGCTTCAGCATGTCCTGACCAGAACAACAATAAGTTAAAAGAAGGAAAACGACAAATGAAATACCAATTTTTCAAAAGGAGAAACTCATACCCTGATACTTGTATAGGTAAAATTAGGACAAAGACATCAATGAAGAGAAGTAGTGGGCACATGCATAAGCACAAAAGAATTTGAAGATTCAGAGTCCATTTGGCTTTCGTAAAGGGAAGGTAAGCAGGGTAAGCAAGGGTAAGAACCCTGCATAGCATGGCTCTGTGAGGGCCTTACCTCACCTCTGCCCAAAGAGGCCATGGCAGATCTGGTTACCACGAAAGAGTTCTATGTTCTGTAGCACCCAGGCAACTCAAGAGTTGTTGGGAGACATCTCTGAGTCTGATGTGAAAGACTACCTGGAGCATATCCTTCTTCACATATCAGCAGCTTGAAAGCACTCAGTATGCAACTGTATTTAAGAAATTAGTTGTAAATAAAATACAGAACAAGACATTTAACACTGTTATGGTACAACCACATCCTGAATACTGTTTGAAGGTCCAGTTCTGCAGCCTTTCTTCCCAAGAGGATACAGTAAAACAGGAAAAATGACAGACATTGATTGAAGGCACAGAGTAGCTTCTGTAGAAGCAGCAATTAAGTAGGTAAGATGTTTCCACTTGAAAAAAAGACATCATTAAAGAGAAAATCTTAGGAGATATGAAGAAGGAAAATACAAAAGTTAGGGGATAAATGAACCAACGGAATTGGGCTGGCACATTCAAACACCTGTTTTTCTTCATACAAAATGTAGGTAAGCTCGGAATCCCCTTGCTAAGTCTAAGAACACAACAAACAGATGGTCTTGTGATACTGGTCACACTATGAAATGGAAACCCATGAAGGCTTACTATACAGAATCCAGCTGGACCTCAGGAAGTCCCTTAGCCAAAGGGAATTGCTGAAGACTGGAAGGATAGTCCAGGGAAGTGTTGTTATGCATGCTCCATTCTTTACTCTTCTCCAGATGCTTATGAGTGGCTTCTAACAGAGATAGATTACCAGGCTAGATGGACCTTTGGTCCAATCCAGTACAAACTGCTCTAGAGAATGCCTTGGGATGCTTCTCATTGACTTACTAGGCAAGATGATGTCCAATTATCCCAAGTACTAAAAAACCCCAGAAAATGTTAGAACATCAGTAACATAGTAAGTAAGTAAAAAAATCTGAAATAACAAAAATATGTGCCAGGATATCCAAAAACCAAGAGTTGAATTTGTACTCACACAGAATACTGGGGTAGTATAATTTGTCAGTATCTGAACAAATTGCCCAAAGACATAAGCATAAATGCTTATTCTGAAGTCCAGTACACTGACAGACAAACCGTGTTCTTTCCTAGGTCCTGTCACAAATCCTTGTGTACCAACCAAGGGTCTTGCTGCAAGTTGGTCAGCTGCTTCCCAAACCTACCGGAGTTGTGCAATTAGACAGCCTCAGGAACCAAGCAAGAGCAGGATAAGCCTCAGGGTCCCTTGGACACAAATTAGGCCTGATGTCACCACACCCAAATACATCCTGTGCCCTCCCTGGTGCACCCTCAGTGCCTTCAGGAATGGGTTTTCCATGTTCACAAACCCAGGCTTTAGGAGGAAAAAGACAGGAGAAATCAGCTCTTGAAGCAGTAGGTTGGCTATAGTTGGATCCTATAGCTAGGAAAGCGCTGCAAGCCTGTGGATCAGCAACTAAAATTCAATTCAGTCTAATGTTGAGGAAAGGTTTCCCAGGTATCGTTTCAAGCCAATGTTTTCTCTACTCTGCCAACTTCAGCTATCCCTTTTCTTCTCCCTCTCGAGCATGAGAGACCAGAGCAGAGATGTCCGAAGACAGATGGCTATTACCTCCTGTCCTAGCAACCCAATCTATTCCAAGCAATCAATAGAGTGGCAATGTGTGGGATCACTCCTGGCCAGACTGTGCCAGCATCCTTAAGCCTCTCCTCTGTCATGAGCTTGAAACAGAGGGAAAACCATGCATATTTTCCTCATATTTAGTCTATCTCAGAAAACAAAAAAAAAATTTTGAAATTAGTCTGGCAGAATTAACCAGTCACTGAAGTGACTGGTAAGGGGCAACTCAATTGTCCAAACAAAGGGCAAGGGAGATGACCCAAGGGAAAATACCATCACTAAATGCACAACATTCTACAACAAGGTATTTGTAAAAATCTTTTAGCACTATCGAAAGCCTAAAGAACCAGAATCAATTGGCACTGATTCTCGTTAGCTGACAAGTGAAGATACTTCTGACAAGGATACCTTAATCAAAATACAGAAATAAGCATCTTGCAGAACAGGAAAGATAAACCAAATTCCCAGTTACTGCTGCTGGTCTCTTTCGGAGCTTGCTTTAAAAGCCAAGCAAGCGGAGTATTTGCTATCAATGAGACGAGACAACCTTGATGACCACGTAATGCCAACTGCCACGCAAAATATATTATCTGAAATAAACCCCAACATTGCTGGCCTAAAGCTTTTCAGAGCTAAATCAGTTACAACAGGAACATCATAGGAGGGGCTGGGTGGTATTCATCTCACTTAGCTTTAGGTGTTTGTCTGACCTAGTTACCATAAGGTCTTTTTATGGTTAATGAAGTCCTAGCTAATAGAGTTTGTAAATTGTAGCGCATGGGTCATCTGACCACATGCAGTCATGTCTTCTGGTATGAACTATGCACCAAGTTAACAGACTTTGCAGTGACTTAAATAGAGATGCTTACACTATAGCTATTTCATATTTGGACATTTATTTTAGGGGCAAAGTCCACAAAGTATCTCCTATGGTTGACTTTAACAAGAAGGCCCAGCACAGAAAATGAAGATCCAGTGATATAGCAAAGTTTATGGAGGAAACAAGAAATACTTCATCATAAATCAATTAGCTAGTCAGAAAAACACAAGGGAGGGAAACACTTCATTCCTTTTATAACCACTTAGATGCACATGAAGGGAGACTTACAGTAGGCCTGTACTGGCATGGCTGGATTAAAAGCAATTTTATGGCCAACAATGTTAATATCCAGGTGATGTATATACCAACATGCTCAAGAAAAATCTCTAACTCTCAAATCTTATCTACTAAAAGGCATTTTAAGAAGCATCAGCAGTGTCACTCCCACTGCAAATATTGCCCATACTAATATAAAAAAAAAAAGCAGGACTTCCCTTACCTTTTATTGAGCTCCTCAAGTTCCGCTCTCAGTTTTCCTATTTCAATCTGTAATCTAGCCCTCTCTTTGGCTGTTTCATCCAGAACTCTTCGAGCATCAGCCAGTTCAGACTCATAGAGACTCTTGATTCCACTCACCTAAGGGGAAAAAAATATTCAGATATTAGAACATCCCAAAGACTAACTATCAAAGAACTGAAACACAGCACCAGGTTTCACATAGCTTTCTTTGAAAAAAGGGTGTATGATATGTTTTCTGTTTTTTAAGAACATTCTACATCACACATTTTCAGTTTTTCAATTTTAACATGCACCTACACGTGATCTAGTTCCAAAGACTAGATTTAATTTTTATTCCCAGTGGGACATAACAAAACATACTATGTTTCAAGTGTGCAAGTCTTCCAAAGAGATAAACTGAAGCAGATCAGTACACCCTACGATCAGACCTTAAATTATTCGCCCTCATTTCCAATACTACTGCTTTGGCAGATTTTTTTAAACAGTATTATCATTTAAAGATAAATGATGATAGACTTCTTTTGTGGAATACAGGTCCAAGGCCCAGTTTGACTCTGCTGTTCTTCACTATAAAGCTAAAAAGAATCTGAAACTAGATGAACTACAGAAATGTGAACTGTTCAGAAATGAGCTTCCACTCCTGTTCTCTATCTCCCAGGATAAGGATCTATAGACTTCTCCCTGTCCCAACTCAATATATTGAGTTAATATCATAATTATCAACATAATCAGCTATTCAGACTGCAGCAAGGCACCTCAAAGTCTTCCACACCTTTATAATTTTTAGAATGCAAGATTTTCTGAAAGTTACATCAGATAGCTAAAATGTCAAGACCATTTAAGATGGTTGATATTGCTTCTATGAAAGGATACCAGAACAACTATTACTAATGTAAATTCAGGAACAGAGCAATCGGGGAGTAAGAAGAGCCAAAAGCAGAATGTACCAACTTTAGGAAGAGAAATTTCATAACAAAGCATAACATGTAGAAACAAGAAAGCAAACTGTGCTATTCCAAGGAGTGCCTGTTTCAACATCAGAGTGGCACTAATGACAGACTCAACCATCTGGTCTTCACAAAGACTGATTAAAAGCCATCAGAATGTAATTAAGTTCCTTATAGACTATATTCTCATAAAACTTCTGAAGTTCACTAAAATACAACAGTATGAGGGCTGAGAAACCTTAGTTTAGAAGCATACCACATACCAGAAATTACTTGGCTGTCTATGCCTGCAGTTGTCTTTTCTTTAAAGAATTAATCCTTTCAAGCTTTATTCAACTTAGCTTTTGGGGTTTGTTTGTTTGTTTTCCCTCCATAGCTGATAGCCAGAGGTTGTCTATGGCACAAGCCAGCACAACTCTGTATTATCAGTTACACAATTTAGGAAGTTCTACAAAGAAGTGTACCATGACTATACTAAAGTCTCATACAGCACTCCACAATGCCAAGAAAAAAAAAAAATGGAGATTTTAAAGCTGTAAAGCCTTTCATTATGGAGATTTTAAAGCTGTAAAGCCTTTCATTATGGATGACCCTTGAGTGAAAATACAGTATTTGCAAATTGCAATACAAAGTACAATTGCCCAAAGGCCAAGCACTGATTCCACACCATCAGGTACTGCATCTACAACAATCCTCCTCTAATGCCAGCCTTTCTTTAGCCCATCTGCCCTTCAATTCTTACATGTGCTAAAATCCTTGCCCTAGGACATCTACCAAGAACTTGTAGCTGTATTGCTCTAGGTTGAGAGACACACACTAAATCACAGCGGAGGACACAAGGACGAATCCCTTCCCAGTACTCCAGTGCATAAACTCGAACTGCATGTCAAAGTACAAAGGAAGAAAGCCTTCTTCCCTAGGTTTTTGTGAATACTGTCACAAAAAGGTGTTGCTGGTATGATACTTGCAACAGGCAGTAAATAATTTATGCTTTTGAGGCATTACAGACAATACAGAGATCACCATCACCAAAACAACAACATTCTGAACAGAGAATAAACACTCAATGCAATTCCTGCATAGGGAGAAGGTAGCTAGACAGAGCTAAAAATTGCATGATGAAAGCTGTTTCAGAACCTGTTAGTAAAAACAGAACCAGAGACTGTGCTTCTTAATTAGAAAGGACTGATTCATTCACAGCATAACCAGTTGTGGTAACTTAGTATCTATTTGTCTCCTTCAGCATGTTAACCTCTTCTCTGCTCTAACTCCAGTAAAAAACATAAGAAGGAAATGCACGGGTCCAATTCACAGTCCAAAGTGTTAGTCAAGAAGCCACTTTCACTAGAATTTTAAGCTAATGCACTAAGCAGACAAAAATAACTGAGACCTAAGGACACACTGCAGCTTCCAGCACAGGGAGACAGCAGATAGCTGGGCACAGTGACACCTTCAATCACTGGAGAACAAAAAAAGAACCCAACCAAAACCAACACAACCCACCAAATCAACCCCGCCAGAACTCTAACAGGATGCAAGGAGAACATGGATTCATGACAACATTGATAAAAGTTTTAGATGCTAAAACTGAACTGGAGGAGAGTTTGAGATGGTCCTTCTAGATTATAAAAAAATAACATCTTGTTTATTTTCATCACTGGTAAAGCAGAGAAGAGAAAACCAAATACAGCAGTAGGCTCAAACAAAAGTAAGTAGTGCCAGCTTAGCTGAACTAGCCTGGTAGTACATGCTTGACAACACTTCTAGCCCAAGACAGTTATTCATTGAAAGCACCCTTCTACCCCAGCACAGAGAAATTCTGTAAAGTATTTCTGTTCACTGAAACAGTCACCCCTCAAACTCTGTTCTGGTGGAAGGAACTTAACTTAGACTCGATGAAAATCTCCAGAAAAGTATGGTCTCAGAAGTGCCTCTGTTTAATGTACACCTATGATTTTGCTTTATTTTGAATCTACAGACACTCTTCTGCCCATTCCCTTTTTTAAGCACTTTACATTTGCTACTCAGTTTGGTCTCTAGTACAGTGACACTTCCAGACATTCTTAGAAAGGTGCTGTTAAACCAAAGCAGAAACTCTTAGGATAAGCCTCACATGTGCCTTCTGAGGAAAACAAACAAAAAACAAACAAAAACAAACAAAAAACACCAAACAAAAACCAAGCCAGAAAAACCAACAACCACCACCAAACATCACAAAAACAATGAAACAACAGCAACAACAAAAAAAAAAATCAATAGTAACAACAGCCAGTATCCACAGCAACAAGAGACAGAAGTTGAATAAATGCATGTGACAACTGTGAAGCTCATTTTTGGTTCTGTGTCTAATCACACTTCTGAGCAGAGTGCCACCAGACAATGTCTACCTCTCCTTAAACACCCCTAAAAAACACTGGATGCAAGAGATAACCTGTCTGATGACATCTTCCATTTTTTTGTCATCTTCTGTCAGCAGAATCTATCAATTCAAATTCCTTCCTTCATTTGTTATTTCTCATTATTTTGCTTGGCTTACCACATAGAATCATAGAATAGTTTGGGTTGGAAAGGACCTTTAATGGTCACTTAGTCCAACCCTCCTGCAAGGAGCAGGGACATCTTCAACTACATCAGGTTGCTCAGAGCCTCATCCAACCTGATCTTGAATGTTTCCAGGGATGGGGCATCCACCACCTCTCTGGGCAACCTGGGCCAGTTTTCACCACCCTCGTTGTGAAAAATTTCTTCCTTATATCTGGTCTAAATCTACCCTCTTGTAGTTTAAAGCCATTACCCCTTCTCCTACCTTAATAGGCCCTGCTAAAAAGTCTGCCCCAATCTTCCTTACCAGCCCCCTTTAAGTACTGGAAGGCTGCAATAAGGTCTCCCCAGAGCCTTCTCTTCTCTAGGCTGAACAACCCAGACTGTCTCAGCTTGTCCTCACAGCAGAGGTGTTCCACCCCTCTGAGCATTTTTCTGGCCCTCCTCTGGACCTCTTCCAACAGGTCCATGTCTCTCCTGTGCTGAGGGCTCCAGAACTGGACACAGTACTCCAGGTGGGGTCTTGCCAGAGCAGAGTAGAGGGGCAGAATCACCTCCGTTGACCTGCTGGCCATGCTTCTTTTGATGTGGCCCATGGGATTCTTCCAAGCAGATCCCTGAAGAGGCTAAAGTCTACTCTCCTGATATCCAGGGCTGTGGTCCTGCTTTTTGCTCTGCTCTATCCTCTCAAGATCCCAAATGCCACTGTTTCATGGTCACTGCCGTGACCTGAACATCCCTGACCACTCCTTCCTTATTTATTAAGTATTAGGCCCAGCAGAGCGCAAAGACAAGGGCATGTGAGGCTTCTTCCAGTTGCCTGAAGGAGACCTCATTTACCTCTTCTTCTTGATCAGGTCATCAGCAGACACATACCACAACATCAATCATCTTGGTCCGCCCACTAACCTTGACCAACAAGCTCTCAGCTAGCTCATAACCTGTCCTTAGGCAGAGCTCCAAGCATTCCCACTGCTTTCTCATATAAAAGGGCAACTCCCTCTCCTCACCTCCCTGAAAAGCCTATATCCATCCATCACAGTTCTCTAGTCATGTGAGCTATCCCTGATCCCAGTGAGGTCATAGTTCTGTAACTGCCCACAGACTTCTCATTCCCCCATTCGTTCCCCATGCTGCACAGATTAGTGTTATAGGCATTTTAGAGAGGCACCCAAGCATGATGATTCCCCGGGAAGGGTAGGAGAGCTTTCCCCACAAGGCTGTTCTGTAGGTACTTCCTTCTTTATGTGCTTCGGGTTTTCAATTTCATCCTTTTTCTGTTGCTTTCTCTTTTGTTCACATAACACCAGGCCTTTTGCTTGCTTACCCCATCCGCCACTTTCTCACCTGATCTTACCCAAGAGGAATCTCTCCCTCCCCCATCATTCACAGTTTAAAATTCTTCTTAGCAGGTTGACCAGCCCTGTTGGCAAAGGTACATTTGCCCTACTCAGGTGGATCCTGTCTCTTTGAGGCAGTCAATCCTGACAGACAGTTCCATGGTCATAGAAACTAAAATCCTGTTGCCAATAGCAGCTGTGCAATCCAGTGTCATTCTGCAGGATCTGCTCAGCCATCCTCAAACCCTTCCCCCTCCCCACACCACCTGGGCCCCCACACCATTAACAATCATCCTGAGCCATGTAGTCATGTTCGACACTTTTCGGGTCACTCCTGCCAGTATCACTGGTGCCTACATGGAGGAGCAGCCAAGCGAGCCTCAGTAGCCTCTCTACAACATCCAGAATGCAAAACTCTGGGAAGCAGCAAACCTCCCCAGATGACGTTAGGCCAACAAACGGGTCCCTCCACTCTGAAAATGTAGCCTCCACTACCACCACCATCTGAAGGCAATGGAAGGAATAAAGCTAAAACCTTGCAGGAACCAGAAAACAGGCCTGATCTACTACATGTTAATGTGCACCCAAGCCTAATTCTTCCCACACAGAGGCCAAGTTGGACACCCTACAAATTGCACTATGAATGTGCTTTCACTTTTTTTTTTTCCTCTTTTGCTGGCAAAAGAGTCTGCAAGTTTGTAATTGGGCAACACAGGGGACAAGGAAATAGATCATGTGAAAAACAAGACGAGATGTTTCCATAGCGCAGTGTGAAAGGCAAAACTGTTGGATGCTCTTTAACCTACCAACCTGTACTGGAAGCACTCAAAGCTCACTGTGTAGTGGTTCAAGGATAGACACACAGACCCTCCCACAGCAATCACTTCACAAAAGCTGCAAAACGTCACTTAATGAAGACACAGGGAACATGCTAAGGCAGCAATGAACCTACATGCTAGGCAAGAAGCATGCCCCATCCAACAAGTGAGTCCAGACAAATTTGGCAATGAATCATTAATCTCACTAATGTGCAAAACGTAAGTGTATTCCCACCAGGTGTGGCTCAATACATTCTTATTCACCCAGTTATGGATTGACGAAGGACTGACAGTCAGCTATGGCCCAGATTCACCAAAAACATCAGTCAAGTTCTCAAAACCAATTAAGACATGTGCTTGCATATCACCACCATCACCTCCCAGATGATGTCTACAGTACCAGAACAACATTTAACCCCGTGCATTGGAGGCTACAACTGCAGCATCTGAACATGTATTTTGCAGGCAGCAACTAGGCAACACCAGACCCGCATATCCTGGTCACAACAGTAGCTCTGTCATGGTACTCTCAAAGGGCACAGTAACTACAGTACTGGCATCTGCCAGTAAGTGGATCCAGATAAGTGGAGACCAGGTGAAAGTTCTGATGGCTGTGACATACAAGATTACAGCCACCTGCAATCACACCCACAGAGCTGGGAAGACCTAGGTGAAGAGGGAACCCCTTGTAGGTACTGTTTTTGTCACATGGGCAATTGCTGTCAGTGCATGAGGGTCTCAGGGATCTTCTTTTTCCTCCCTACTTCTCCTTTCTGTGGGTGAGAACAGTGAGATGTCCTCAAAACAGTGTAGTAATCCCTCCCATGCCCATCAAAACATCTTTTCTGGAAGGGTGCAATCATAAGCACTGCAGGGGAGGGCAGGGAGTTAGTAGAAAGGGAATTGAGGAGACCTCTAGGACTCTCTTCCTCTTAGCCCTTCCAATATTCCCCCCTCCCAGCCTCACAAATTAGGTTACTGTGACAGTGACCCCAGCACAGTGAGAATAACATCAGTCATACACTAGCGAGGTAGCAAAACAAGGGGATGAGCCAAAGTTCTCCTGTCATAGGCCAAGCTACACAAGGGGATTCATGCAAGACAGCAAACAAAGAATGAGGACAATTACAGCTTCCCCCAGCTACACAGACAAAATATTTTTTTGTATTTGTCTGAGGGCTTACTGCATACATTTTTATTTCTCTAGAGGCCTACAAGTAAAGGTAGAACAGCATTGGACAGGGTTAGGGAAAGCGGGGAAAAAAGGCTATAATTAGTAGAGGACTAGAGATTAATCTCAACTTCTGCAAAGTTCCTTTTCTCTGCTGCTAAATGGTGGCAGCCCTGTGTTCCTCAAAAAGAGTGACAGGAGTTGTTTTGTTCCAAAGCTACTATGCAACTGTGGCCTGTAAAATTAAGATTACCCAGAAGAGGAGAAAGTGGCTGATTTCTTCCACTTTCTGCAGACTGGCGATTAAAACAAGGAAAAAGAACATCCTGATCAGCTGATGATTAAAGAGCCTCTGGCAGAACAGTGACTATGGTCCTTGCCTGAAAAGCATCAGCAGAACTTCTTTCATCTAGAAGATACTGTCCTAAACCAGAGCTTTGAGAACAACATCAAAAATGCCAACCCTTTGTTCCCATGCATGCAGGGGTGGGGAAAGAGAATGTCTAACATTAAGACATGTCTTAAGAAAGGTCTTACACTAGCCCCTTTCTCAGACATGGTCAGTGTGGGACACTGGGGTGACATGCTCTTGTCTACTGCTTGTCATAGCAATCCTCAACATCCTATTTGCCTTGGATTATAGACCCATCACCTGCTCTCAAGGCAAAAGTTCAGGTGTTAACATAGAGCCCACTGGTGAGCAGTTCACTCCTGCTTGCCATCCCACAACATGCATCATTCCAGATGATGGTCCCTGCCCACTACCAGAGATAAGCCAAAAATATTAGAATATTTAGTCATCTTAAAACAGAGTCAAATTTACACACAGTTGAGGACAACCAAGGGGAGTTTTCATCCTGAACACATTAGGAAAAGAAACAGTCCATTTTAAGAATGTAGAGCTAATATAAAGACATAATGATGTAGCCAGAACGGTATGCCAGTATCACTGGACTGCACTTAACTGTGCTTCTACACAGAAGTTAGAGTTGCTTTGAGTTTTCTGATTTTTTTTTTTTTTTATGGTGGGGTTAGGATGCTTTATTTTTAATTAAAATCTTATTTCATGCTAAGCCTAATCAATTTCTGAACACAAATTCTAACAGTGTAACAAGAAAAATTGAATTCGTCAGCAGAAAAATCCAGTTTACTGAATTGGTACTGAAAGTGAAAGGACAGGATTCTCCCATTCCAGTAAACCCAAAATCTGACAGCCATCTGAAGTTTTACTGCTCCCGCAGTCCTAAACTGCTGTTCACTATCCTGAATCAGAAAAATAAGACTACAAAGTCTCCTTTTCTGGATATATGTAAAGAATAAATAAGCTATCCTAAAGGGATGGGGGAAGCATTTAACAAATGTGGTCCAGAGACCAGCTGAAGGATTGCCATTGTCTCTGACATGTCAAAGAGCTTGAGGAATCCTGACAAAGTTTGTTAGAATATGTCTAAGAATTAGGACCTTTTCCTGAAGTCTGGAAGAAAAGTGACGAAAGAAAGCTCAAGGACAAAGTAAGCTAAATATTTATATCAAAATCATCAAGTTTATTTTCCAATTACTGCAGCAAGGTATTTTTCCAGAATTGATAGCACAGACCTGCTATTAGGAGTTGGTTTGTGTTCATATAACATTCCCATCCCACTCCAACAAGTTTGATGCTAGTGCCAGCAATAGATGCCCAAAGCCTGGAGAAGGATCACAGGTCAGCAAGAAAGCACCTGAAGAGCACCACAAAGGAATTCCAGCAAGTCAGCTTCATCGGGGCCAAACTTAAATGCCTCTATGCAAACACGCACAGCATGGGAAATAAACAAGAGGAGTTAGGGACCTGCACATACCTGCAGGGCTATGATCTTCCCAGCATCACTGAGACATGGTGGGATGGCTCCTATGACTGGAGCACTGGAATGGAAGGATACAGGCTCTTTAGGAAGGACAGGCAGGAGAGACAAGGAGGGGGTGCCACCTTCTATGTCAGTGACCAGCTGGAGTGCATGGAGCTCTGCCTGGGGATGGATGACGAGCTGACGGAGAGCTTATGGGTCAGGATTAAAGGGAAGGGACAGGTGACATTACAATGGGGGTCTGCTACAGGCCACCCAACCAGGAAGATGGAGCTGATGTGGCCCTCTACAGACAGATAGCAACAGCCTCACATTCACAAGCCCTGGTTCTCATAGGAGGACTTCAACCACTCCGACGTCTGTTGGAGGGACAACACAGCAGGTTTGTGCAGGAGGTTCCTGGAATGCGTTGACTTCTTTCTCTAAGCAACAGAGGAGCCAATGAGGAGACGTGCTAGGCTGGACCTGGTTCTCACCAACAAGGAGGGGCTGGTGGGGAATGTGAAGCTCAAGGGCAGCCTTGGCTGCAAGTGACCGTGAAATGGTGGAGTTCAAGATCCTTAGGGCAGTGAGGAAGGCACACAGAAAGCTCACTACCCTAGACTTCAGGAAAGCAGACTTTGGCCTCCTCAGGGATCTGCTTGGTAGAGTAGTATGGGATAAAACTTTGGAGGGAAGAGGGGCCCAAGAAAGCTGTTTAAGATTCAAGGATCACCTC